CTACTGTAAACCACTTCCTGTCAGCTGACAGGAAGTGGTTTACAGTACTACTGTAAACCACTTCCTGTCAGCTGACAGGAAGTGGTTTACAGTACTACTGTAAACCACTTCCTGTCAGCTGACAGGAAGTGGTTTACAGTAGTCCCTCGCTACTTGGCGGTTCGACCACCGTGGACTCGCTCCGTCGTGGTTTGTGGCCGTACAGTAATATCTCTGTACAGAACTCGTGTGGATGTGAAAAAGTTAATGACACAAATAATAATGTGGACAGGCGCCGCCATTTTGTAGTTTCTTTCATTCAGCCTCCACTGTGCTGTAGTCACCACTCAGGACTACATTTCCCTCAAACCAGTGCTGTGCTGCACTGAAGTGCCTCTGGGCCCTGTTTTCAACAGAATGTTTGCAAAGCGAAGTCATGACGGCCGAACCGGCCTGTCGAGGTCTGAGCGCGCTTGAACGTGGACAATCGGGCGTGTTCTGGAGAAGGATGGAGGAAGACGAGGAGCCTGGTCTCAGCTCATCTCCATCACCTTCATCACCGGACAGATAATCCTTCATCATCTTCTCTGGTGAGTACCCATTTAATATTGTAATTAATATTATAATAATAAATATTAATAGTTTTAAAAGGTTTAAGAGTTCAGACAGTTGTTGAGGGTGGGGTTTACAACTCTCTAACCCACAGAGCGTATAAATGTTAAAATAAACTAACCCTACGTGATGGTTTTTCACTAGAGTTGGAACCTATCGGAGCGATAAGCGAGGGACCACTGTAATCGATTATTGAAGCAGAAGTGAACGATGAAGTCACGCCTGGCCGCTGGAACTGGTCCAGTTTCACCTTCATGAACCAGAACTTCCTGAAGTTTTGGGGTTTTACTTGAGGAGCTGGTCCAAACAACAACCTGGTGTTTTTACAACGGACGAGATCCTGTTTAAGCAAAAGTTCATTATTTTAAACGTGCGTGAGCACACGAGTGTGTGTGTGAGTGACCACACACGTAAGGCTGTGAGGTCAGAGGTCAGAGCAGCTGACGTCATCGATGAGGCGGTTCAGGTACAGAAACACCTGCAGAAGATTTTTGACACAAACTGTGAGTCTTTGATTTGTGGTTTCTGTGTTCGAGTCCAGACGGACGGATGACGTCGTTCAGAGGATCCGGGGGAGGAGCAAAACGTGATCGTCGCCACCTGCAGGGGCGGAGTTGAGCTGCTGCACAGGAAGAGTTCCCCTCAGACTCCGCCTCCGTACGTCGCACGGTGACAGCAGACAGGTCGGTCTCCCTTTAGTGTTCGACACCCAGCAGTGGTCCGCTACAGAAAGTCCAGTTCCAGAGCCTGATGGAGGGACACGAGGTCTCCGTGAGTCGAGATCCTCCAGAAAGGCATGTTGTGCTGCAGAGGAGGAGAAACTGGAGGTGAGTACACAAACCAGGACAACCAGAGACGTTCAGCTTCTACTCTGAGACTACGCTCACACTGAAGGTCCAAACGCTCACATCTCATGTGGTTCTGCTCAGATCAGATGGTTCTGTTCAGATTATAATCTAACCGATCTCCATCAGACTCCAGTCCACGGTTCTGAAGTGACCCGCAGAAGCTGTGATGTCATCGCAGCACACGTGTTTACGTGAGTGGATCGGTTCTGAAGTTCTTCAGTCAGAACAGGATCTATTAGGACCGGTCCGGTGTTGACAGCTGATGTTGCCTCTTCCTGCTGCTCAGGTGAAGAATTTCACTTTTGGAACAGGAGCAACATCCTGAAGACTGAAACAAACTCAAGTATGGATCGTGATGTCGGCATCGATCCGGTCCGACACCAACGTTGGTATGGAGGTCATCCAGGAGCAGATGACACATCAGCTGGACTTTGGTTCTGTAGCTGAAGACGTGCAGAGTTCCACGACTTCAACTTCCTGGTTTAAATATGATACTTGGATCGACTGCGACCTCGCTGAGGAGCGAGTCCAACGAGACGTCCAGTGTTCAAGTCCTGACCAGAAGCAGAACACGTCACCCGGTCCGTTCAGACGGAGCCCACGTTGAATTAAATGCGTCAGGTTTAGGAGTGCACCTGAAAAAGACCTGGCTCAGGTTTTTATCTGCAGTTTGAACCATGTTCTAAACCTGAACTTTGATCATTCAGAAATCTTTACATCACTTCCTCGGCTTTTCTTCAAGTCGTGAAGTTTCAGTTTGTTGAAACGTTAAAGAGCTTCAGCTGCGGACACTAACCTGAACTGAGGGGAAGCAGCCGGTGAATAAAATAAATTATTAATTATAATAAACTGCTCTGCTGTTTAAGAATATGAGCAACTAAAGACAAAGTGTTTCAAATTATCAGTAACAAAGATCAGAAATGTTTTAATTCACAGCAGATAATATAATTAAACTATCTTTATTTAAAAAACGTTTTTATTTGTCTTTCCCTTCATTTAATAATAACAATAATAATAATAATAATGAATTTAATTCGTAATGCACTTTTCATTTAAAAAAATCTCAAACTGCTAAAAACAGTAATGTTTTGAATTATGTCTCGTCTGAGTTTTGTTTTACATCAACATCCTATTTAAATAATAATGTACATGTAATAACTATATATTAATGCTGTAACCATTACATTATTATACAACAACCTTTTAAAGCTCGTTTTAAAAAGAAGTTCTTCCTGGATCGTCTAACATTATTTATCTGTTTCCAGATAACTTCCTGTTCAAAGGTTTTTATTCAGGAAGTAAAGCAGCACTTCCTGCTGTGCTGATTGTAAAAACAACCTCTACGTTTAGTCTGAGCTTCTTAAACACGAGGGAACGACCAAAGCTCTGCCTGGTCCAGCTGACACGGGGTCGGGAGGTAGAATATGTTGCCCGCCTGAGGTCGAAGCGGAAAAACTCGAACCTGTTTCGCAGCGAACTCCTCGTCTCGCCCGTCCCCGATCACCACGTACGTCACCTTCTTCCCGAAGCGAGAGACGATCCTCTCGAAGCAGCTCTCTTTCCCTGCAAGGAGAGGAAAACATCAGCTCAGGTGGTCACCTGCTGCAGGTGAGACGCTGCCCGCGCGCACACTCACCGATCTTTGTGGCGCTGTAAATGTTCTCGACGGGGAAGACGTCTCCCAGACCGTACAGCAGAACCTTGGCCAGAGCCGGAACCAGCTGCGTGGTGGTGACCAACACGTTCATGCACTTCCCTCTGTCGCAGGCGCACGCACACACAAACAGTGCATTGAGACAAGAAGCAACAAACGGAGCTTCAACCAAAATAAACCACACGAAGAATCAGTTTATTAGTTTTTATGAATTAAACTGAACGTCAGGACCTGCAGCAGAACGTTGCAGGTCCTGACCTGCAGGTCCTGACCTGGAGTCAGAGTGTTTTTCAGGTCCTGACCTGGTCTGGATGAGCAGCAGGGACTTGAGCGCCGTGGTGAGCCAGATGTCGGTGACGTTCTCGATCTCTGAGCGAAGCCGTAACAGGAGCTCTCTCTTGATGGGACTGAGCAGACCTGGGGAACCAGGAGATTTCAGAACAAAGAGCATCTTCAGCACCACCTCCATTACAGGCCCACGTTTCCTGGTCTAAAAGCAGCTGTGTCCAGATGTTTCTCCTTCACAGGTTCGTCTTCAGCTGCAGCAGCTAGTCTGTCGTTAGCTCGTCTTTCTGTTGTCTACACTTCAGAAAGAGAACTCACCCCCAACGTTCCCCTTGTAGGTGTTGTAGATCTCTTTTAGGCGGCGGTAACGAAAGGCCAGTTTCCTCATCCACTCCACGCCCCCCTGGACCCCCGCTGTGCCTCCCGCCGCTCCGCCGCTGCTGGGGCCGTTGAAGCCGTCAGCCAGGAAGTTGTAGGTGCTGCGACGGAGGAGTTGAACATTTGAATCCCTCCAGATGACACAAGAGATGAGCTGTGACAAGACGTCATGTGACCCACCTCAGGTCCTGCCCGTTGTCGTCAGACGCCACGTCCTCAATGTGGACCTGATCGCACTCCTGACAGGAAACAAGAACGTCAGAGCTTCACCTCGAGGAGTTCACGAACGTTCGCGTCATAAAGCTATTATTGTATCTTCATCCTCCTCATCCTCCTCACTGAAGCGGCAGGGAAACGTCTGACCGTCTGATATCGATGGATTTGATCAAAACCAGGGATGCAAACACGTGAGGGGGTCGAGCGATGTATCGAGTACATTTCATGCACCCGACGACATCTTCAGTAACTATATCGTAACCATCAAACATCGATTTGAGCGTCAGGTTTCTGCAAGTTTCAACAAACTAGACTGTTCTTGGAACAACAAACCAGTTCCAGGAGCCGAGGAACGGGACCGGCTCTTTTTGACCACAAAGCTGAACTCTGAACTTCAGGGGCGCTTGGCTCCAACATCCTGACTGAATACGTGGAGGTCGGCGTACCTCCAGGTCGTTGAAGAAAAGATGCGTGTCTGCCAGCTCAAAGATCAGCTCCTCCATCTGCAGGCCGAGGTTCAGAATCGTGGCCGGCTCCTGAACAACACAGACCCACACGTCACGAAACAAACCGGCTCAAACGTTTCTTTCTCTGAAGCCTCTCGTCTCTAACCTTCCCAAACTTCTGGGCGTAGGTGCCGGTGAGCAGAGAGTGGAAGATGATGATGGTCTCATCCAGATCCCAGAGAAAAACACGCTGAAAGCAGCAGAGGAGCAGACGTTCAACACATGTTGAAGAAGAGCCGTGTTCAGCTGCTGAGTAATCTGGAGCTGCTCGGTCACCTCCAGATCGCTGTCAGGCGGCGGGGAGCTGTCCGACTTCTTGGCCTTCCCTTTGGACTTCCCCACAGAGTTCCTGCGGCCGAGCTCGTCCTGATCCCTGGCTCCACCTGAGGGGAGGGCTGCACCTGCAGGGAGGTTCTCAGGTGGAGATGCATCTGCAGCAGAACAGAGGACGGCAGGGTTTCATAAACAAATCAGTCTGGTACCGGTCTTTGGCCTCTCGTTGGGTCGATGGGTCCAAAACTGTTGAAAATACCAGAACTGGACTTTACACTGAAGGAGCAGATATCTGTTGTTAAACCATTTATCACTGATCTAAACATCACGTCTCCCCTCAGAGCTCTGAAAGTCACAAAGTTACGTCCAGTAACTTCTTCCTTACTCGTGAAAAACCACAAGAAGAAAAACCCTTAAATCTGTGTTTGGACCGGACATCGACAGCCTGTTGTGGATAAACTGCAGCAGGTGAATCACCTCGGGGGGGCAGTCCAGCTGAGGCGGCCTCCTCAGACTTCACCGCTGAATATTCTGCGACCGCGGCGCCGGGCTCGTCGCTGCTGGGCAGCCCGGCAGGAACGTAGCTGGGAGGTAGCGTGTAATACTGAGAGAACTGAGCCTGACCCAGAGAGCTGTAGCTGCTGAACTCCTGCAGGACGAGGAAACACAAACAGCAGAGGGATGAACGTTCAACCGGCGGTGGAACGGGACAAAAACGAGGACTTTTCTACGATAAAACACGCCGACAGGACCTCCAGGCTGAGCCAACTGCAAGATACGACGAGCAGCGAGGGACGAGTTCCCTCTTAAACGGAAGAAAAAGGTGTTGGAGACGGAACATCAGCAGCTGCTGCTTCAACTCTGACCTTATTCATGACCTTTGGACTAGAGGCTGACAGTTGTTCTGGAATCCCACGGCTAACGTGATTCCAGCGGGATGGGAGTCAACTTTAATATTACTCACGCGACTGGGACGGTACGGGATAAGAAGTTAACGGGAGCGGGAACCAAGCAATAGGACAAAAAAATACTTTGGACAGGCGCCGCCATTCATTTTGTAGTTTTCTTTCAATGAGCCTTCACTGTAACGCAAGGCCGCAGAACTACATGGCCCAGAAGCCAACAGTGCTGAAATTCAAAGAACAATGGAGGGAGCGAACGCTAGCGATGCATCTATGAAGCTCACAGAAATATTCCTGACCTTCATGAGTGTGGTGGTGTTAGCACGCCGTGCGCTGCTCAACAAACGAGTTTAGTCTTGGTCGAGTGCACGAGTCAGGGACGAGTGGGCTGAAGAGACACTTTGTCCAAAGCTCAGGTCCAGCATGTGAACGAACGTATTTATACAGTTTTGGTCGTGGAGCTCTCTTGCTTGGTGCATTTTTTATTTTGTTGTGTAAGCAATTTAAAACATGACGGTGATGTCACTGTTTAAAGGAAACAATTGATCAATAAATTAGTCAAACGCAACTTTATATGTTCAGTTTGGGCTCATTCAATTAAGGTAGACATGGTGTGACCCATGTACTGTTGTTTTTTATTTAATTAATTGGTTTTACAGTAACTGACCTCCAAAAGAGCCACTAACTGGGACTCAGCTGCTGATACTCCAAAGAAAAACTATAGGAACCACAGGCCTTGTATTATTTGTTGTGTGCCCTTTAGTGAAAGTTTCCGTTTGGATTAAGCAACAAATGCCTCCATGTTTCACCACAGATGAACTGTTCCTGTTGCCATGTGTTGTGAAATAAAACTGCAGAACACAAAGTAAAAGGAATGGGTAGAAGACTCATCAAATTCAGTGCATTTCCTAAAGACTAAATGAAGAAAAACGAACAATGGGAGCGGTCCAGGAGTGGGAGTCATTCTGAATGGGAGTGGGATGTGAGACAGGAATTTTGTTTTACTGTGGCCCGGGACTGGGACGGGACGAGTTTTTTTCTGTGGGAGTGGGACGGGGCAGGAGTGAAAATCCACTCCCGTGTCAGCCTCTAGTTTGGACCAGAGTTCTGTTCATACCACTCGTACGGTACGTTTTATATTTGTTTGTGGAATGGACCTTTAGGTTGTAAGAGCCAAAATAAAAGAAGTGTGAAAAGTCCCGGAGGGACGGCCTTCACGGCGACACGCTTAGAACTCACCTGGGGTGCGGCTGCGGTGGAGGCGCTGGTGACGGCTGTGGTGGAGGGGATGTTGGAGTAAACACTGGAGGTGGTGAAGCTCGAGCCTGAAAACAAAGAAGGCGTTCAACGGGGGGAGCCTGCCTTGTTTGCGTGCACACGGTGTGGTGGGGTGAGGCGCGGTGAGGCTGCAGCTTGCCTTGGCTCGGGTACGAGTAGTGCAGCTGACCCGGCTGGGTGGAGGTGAATGCCGTGCTGAAGCTTAGAAACCCGGGCTGGCCACCATAGGGCGCCTCAGGCAGCCCTGTCTCAGTTTTAACGACCGGCCACAAGGCTCCTGAAGACCACAGAGAGCAACAGGAGCAGAGAGTCAAAGCAGCGGGGGAGGGGGGGAGGCAAATATCCAGTGGAGGTGTGTGAAAAAGCAAAGAAGCAGAGTGATGCTTAAAAAGCTCAGTAAGACGTGATGCTGAGGTTTTAGTGAGCAGAGGGGGGTCTGTGGGGGGAGGGGGGACTAACCGAAGGGTGGGAGTCCGTAGGTCTGTCCGGTCTGAGGGAAGGATGAGTACACAGTGGACTGGGCCAGAGGAGAAAAGGCCACCTGACTGGTGTAGGACGTCACCGCGGGGCTGAAAGAGACGATGTAACTGCTCACACTTGTGTCACCATGGAAACCAGCGACATAAGAACCGTAATTACCGGGGTACAAGCCACTACTTGTCTCTCACTCTTTGCACCCCGCGGTTTATATGCAGGAGTCTTATTTATGTACCGTTTTCATATTTATCAAAAGTTATATTTTATTTTGACAGACTTCCTGCCTCTAACATTTTCCTTCGACAGAGCTGGGCGCTCGTGTCACCAGCACCCGCCCCTCTTGGGGGCAGGTGCTGGTGACGCAGTTTCCTCAGGTATCCACATGTACAAGCCTCTTGCTCACAGTTCAAATACCCAACCATAACTCCACCCACTCTGTCATCATGTGACCAGAAGTCTAACCTGAATGAGCAGCGAGGTACTCCCCCAACACAGACGAGCATTCATTTCTTCAGATAGTTCCCGTGTCGTTACCGTACTTTGTGCTTCATGCACAGACCTGTTCATGTGTTCAGGGATAATGGAAAACACACGGAGACTTCTCCTGACGCAGCTTTCATGTTAGAAGCTGTCGAGGAGGAACCGGCTGCAGCCCGTAAGCTCTGCATCATGTCGAGGGTCAGGGAGACGAAAAGCGTCTGGTACACGGTTTAACAAAAGCTTGTGTTTTTTTATATATATATATATATATATATATATATATATGTGTGT